GAATATATAAAACCCATTAGCAAGACAGAAGCCCTTGGTATGTCCAGTCCCTTTAGGGCTTCTTTTCCCTCTATCATGATAGTTGCACTGGCTGGATCAGATACACCAGTAGCTTTGTTGACTGTGATGACGTGATTTCTGAGAATGGGTCTGTTTTCCCCTTCTTCATGTTTATCTTGGTGTCACGTGATTCTTGAGAATGGGTGTCTTTCATTAGAACTGCCAGGCTGTGGGAAACAAAAGGAAAATCTTTTTAAAAATCTCAATTAAAATGCATGTGCTAGATTCTCATTACTCTTTGTGTTTAAGTTGGTTTCACGATTTTGAGAATGAGGTTGTTTAGAACAACTATTTGTATTTACATAACTAACAGATAAGCTAAAGTTGAACTGATTTTGAGATATACTTCTGTATAGACTGAGTAATTAGCACAACTAGTATAAATATATACACCTTAAAAACTCCTTATGTTCTATGATATTTTGCATTTCTATGTAAAATATGAATTAAGGACCAAATCCTCCTTTTGCCACCAGTTTTGTAAAAATATGGATTTTCTTTTTATTACAGCACACCTATTATTCTAAATGGGAATGTTCTTATTGTATAGGATTACTGTAAGTTCTTTTTTATTGTTCTCCCTGCAAATGTCTTAAACAGACTACATTAAATTCAAAATTCGAGAGTTTTCATTCATACCAAATGGCAGAGCATATAATTGCTGTTATATATTAGATTGACTATCCATCACTTCACATATACAAGGTACTTCTTATTACCTTTAAAGCATTGCATAGTCTACAAAAATGAATGTCTGAAAAATAAATGTATGTAAAGTTCAGTCACTTTCTAAAATCAAGCACATAGTCATGCAATCTCCCCAGATTGACTGCAGTACTGAGGAGCCCTGTGACTTTAAACATGGCACTGTCACAGGATGCCACCTTTGCCACAAGTCAGTTGTGAGATTTCTGCCCTGCCAGGTCTGCCCCAGCCAACTGTAAGTGCTATTATTGTACGAATTATTGTAAAATACATTAAATTCTTCATAAATAAGTTGGAAAATTATTTATTACAAATAAATTGTGAGTATGCCAAACCAGCAGGCTGAATAGCTGAAAAGATACAAGCTGTTTCTGCCAGTCTACTTATAACCATGTCTTAAAGCTGAGTGATTTTCATTGTTGTCGGAATAAAAAGAAAAATTCCAGCCTCCCAAAGATCATCACAATGACACACAGATAACATGTAGTTTAAAAATTTGAGATATACCTAACCAAACTGCATAATTAGCATAATTAGCATTAATATATACATCTTACAAAATGCCTTATGTCCCATGACATTTACATTTCTATATAAAATATGAATTAAGGACCTTTTCCCACCAATTTGAAAAAATACAAATTTTCTGTTTAATAATAACACACCATTCAAAAGGGAACTATATTACTGTGTATGATTACTGCCTTCAATAGACTACATTATATTTCAAATTCTTTTCTTTTATTTTGTGAATACAAGTTACTTCTCATTACACTTAAGGCCTTGTGTGGTCCACAAAAATAAATGTCTGGAAAATAAATGGGTCCCACTTTATATTATGTGTCTCTAATAACTGTGTAGTTACACATCAATAACACATGTAACAACACTGTAACTACTAATCATTTAGGCAGTGTTACAGATGGATTACAGAAGTATAGCCTGTGTAATTACACATGTGTATTAACTTCAGTTTTGCCTCTTGTAATTATAGTGTATCTTTTTGATACACTACAGATCAGAAGTCTCTTTTTGCATAAAAGTACATTTATGTTTTACATAATTATTGTGGATTAACTGTGCTGTAACAAGGTAACCTAATCACATCACATTAATTACCATTCTATAATTACCACTCTGTAATTGAATTGTACCTATATAACAACTGAAGTTCATACACGTGTAATTACATTACTCTGTAACAGTGACAAAATCATTAGTAGTTACATTGTTGTTGCATATGTTGTTCATATGTAACTACACAGTTATTATAGACACAATATAAAGTGGGACCAATAAATGTATGTCATACCATGTGGAATGCTTTGAAAATTTCAAAGAAAAGGATAAATCTTCAGTTAAATCTGGGTCAAAATTGCTGTAGTGTGCCTTTTGGTGTCTTGTACATAAATAATTCATTTGTCATAGTAACATAAAAATGACTATAAAAGGTTTTGTTTCATTGAGCTAAGGTTTATGTTCATAAAATAAAGCATTACTTAGCTTTTTAGACACAATTTCCAGATTTCTATAAGACGATGCATGCTATTCTGCAGTAATGCTTCCTTTTCCAGCCATTTCGGTTCTACTTATTAACCAGGTAAGTTTGAAATACAAACTCCAAAGTGCTAGAATTGACAGAAACTCCCTCTGGTTTATCGTTTATCCCTGCCACTTGCCTCCACCCAAACTGTACATCTCTCTCTCTCTTACTCTCCCCCTTTTACTCGTACTGTCATAAGACTGACATTCCTCTTCATTCACATAAAATTCTTAGCTTGAACTGTGTAAATAAAAGACCCTATTGGGGCTGTTGCACCATTGTCTACATGTGTGCCATGGCTTATGCTGCTCTAGATTATTTCAGGAGTTAGATCTGTTTACTTGCTTCTCTGTCTCTGCCATTCAGGCCAGAATAACAATGACATGGACCAACTCATACAGCGTATGGCAGCAGGAGGTTACTGGAGTTGGCACATGGCCTGAAGCAGCTCACAGAGGACATGCTTGCCAACCAGAGAGCAGCTGCAACTGAACCCTTGCCCAGTACAAAGATATCAGTGTATCAGCTCCTTACTAAGGACAATGCCAGTGATTATGTAAAAGTTACGTTTCGTTTCTTCACGGTCTTACGAGACTCGGGGCTGTGGGTTAGTTCGGTTGGCGATAGGTAGCGAGGACGAGGAAACAAAGAAGAGTGAGGGACTCGGCATTAGAGTTCGGGGGGGCCACTTTTAATGTCGAAAACACAACTGCTTCAGCTACTCGTTGCCGCAGGTCAGAGAGAAAACATAACAACTCAACTCTGCTTCTTCTACACACTCTCTCTCTCTCTCTTTTTTTTTAACTCCACCCCCTTCACATACGTCACACTGATAACTTTCTTCACCTAACAGCAACCTTAATAACTAAAACATTCACAGCTTATTCAAACTAACAATTATTAAAATAGTTGTAAATTATTGCTCTTACAATTACATGGAGGCATTCCTGAAGCGAAGGTCTGGGATAATCAAGACTGGGTGGAGATCATTGTTCCTCTTCTTACAGAGGAAGCACAGCTTGCATAATTCTCATTGCTACCTGCTAAAGCTTACAAGTATGATGACCTTAAAGAAGAGATCCTCGCTCAGGTTGGTCTGGGTCCTTCTGCCACTGTGGCTGAAAAGCACTGCTGGTCCTATAAGCTCCACACCCACTGCTTTGCCAGCTGATGACATAGCTGCTATAGATTATAAAATCTATGATTTTGTGATCTATAGCAGCCCTGCAGCTGGAGGCTGTAGGCACTGAAGAGGGGGAGGAGTGAGAGAACATGGACAAGTTCCTGAGGGCCCTACCCCCAGAACTACAGAAGGCAGTAGGCTTCAAAGTAACAAAAATGCTAAAAGAGATGGTGGAAGCTACTAAATGTGTTTAAAGCATGCTAAGACTGTTCAGACCACAGAACATAGAGAATGTTCAACCTGCAGCCCAGAAGGACTTTGTTACTCCATGCAGAGAAATTGAGAAGGAAAAGGAAAGAGCACTGCCAAAAGCGAAACCCCATGGCCCACGGAGTTTCAGTGGACTGGGCAGACTCCCTGAAGAACCCAGCCTATGGAGTCTGAACCCCAAATTACCCATCACCTCTCCAAAGCCTGACTGGCAGACTGTTAAATCCTTCAGAGAGCCAAATCAGAGGGTCAGACCCACCCCTGTACTTGGATGGCAGGAAGCTGTATGTCCTACTGGCCACAGGTTTAAGGTTTTATAAATAAAAATCAAAACAAATGTCAAGACATCAGAACAAATGTCAGATTGGCAAGAAATTTTAATTTAAAAAAATCTATTATTTTGAACTACTCCAACCAGATTTTTTGCTGAAGTGTTGCTTAATAACACTTAAAACAATGAACCAATATCTTTTTTATCTTTATTTCTTTATTTCCAATTGCATTTTATGTTGCAGTAAAGCATGTATATGCTGACCCTGTTTGACTGACTGAAAATGTGCAGTATTAACTTCATTCTATGAATTCTTTCTTTTTTTGAGAGTATGTGTGTTGTTGTATCAGAATAAAGTAATGCACATACACACACGTAATGAAATATTAATTTTCTGTTAATAAATCACAGCTTTGTATAAGTCTTTGTACAGTTTGTCAGCTCAATCTAAACTTCCAGAGATGTCCAGACACCTCTTTTACACATAATCAGCCATGTACTATATCCAGAAATCTCAGACATAATGTGTGTTCTGAGCTGCACGCACGAGATTAAGAAATTTCTGTCCGGGACACTTCAAATATCATTGAATAGGTCATTGAATTTCTAGAAATATCAGTTTTCATGCAGTAAAATGGCAAACTCTCTAGACCTTTTATTTGCTTACTCGCAAGTGAAATAATAAAAAAATAGCACACACCTGGCCATGGAACAGCTTAGCACCCAAATGTCCAATTACTTTTGAGCCCCTGCAAACGAGGGAGCTAAGTATGAAAAAGGTTGTAAGGTTGTCCTACACCATTAAACCAGTTTGTATGTAAAATATACCTATAAGTCTTATTATACCTGAGGTCATATTCACTTTTCCACCTCAAAATGCTGTAGTAGTGGAGCTGCTGCTAGGCTCTCATGCAGAAGAGGAGAAATGAAGGAGATAGCAGGGAAGACTTTTAGTTTCACTTTGGAAATCATATAAGCTGCTCACCACTGACGCACTGCAGCAGAGCTGCAGCAACCACACCCTCACTGAGGCTTCTGGAAACAGCTAATACCCCTGTCTACTGAGGTAAGGAGATTTCTGACCACTGAAGGAAAGGAAACTTACTAGAAGCATAAAAAAGGACACGGGTGGAGAAGGAGATGTTTTGGTACCTTCTAACTTACCAAAAAAAACAAGGAAACAGATGCTTTCAGGCAGAAAAAAAACATTTTCCTGATGTCTTGTCTTTCTGCTGCTAAAAGGTAAGCTCAAAAGCTCAGGCACAGTGCCTGAATAGAAAGTAGGTTTATTAACTAATAATAATTATTTGCAACATTAAACAGGTAATCATGATATTACATGACACTAATGTAAAATTATTGATATATAAATTTGTCTTCATTTTCGTCTCATTAACCTATTTGGGTCAATTACAATTACAATTGCAATTATAAAGTATTTACACATGAATGTTACACATGCCATATGTTGTTACTTTCAGGAGACCCCAGGCTACTCAGATATCCCATTGTTTGACATGTAAATGCTAACAGAAATTTGATATCTTTATGAATTTGGCTCATTTCTGATCAAAAATGTACTTAGCGCCTGCTTAAATTAGTACTTTTTTTAATTATAGACATCTTGAAAACAAGTGCAGTAATAGTTGTCTTTTCAGTAATTGTTAGCCAAAAGTTTCTGTGAGCTGAAAGTGCAATAATTTTGGTACTGATTAATGCTATAAACAATTAGCATAAGGCGGACATGTTTTTTTTTTATTGATTTTCTGTCCTCTTGGATTCAGGCTCAGAGCTAAAACTCTGATACACAGCAAGACAGACTTTATTTTTACAAATTGAGTTGCATATTTAATATCAGATATTTTGAATCAATGTAAACTGAAAGCACTTCGTTTATAATATGAAGTCTAAAAGCAGAGATGTAATAGAACAGTAGCGAGTCGGGTTTTGGGTGATTTTGGAGCTGGATTGCTGGCTGATAGATGGTTGCAGGTGGATAAAATCACTCTAGATTCTACACTCTAGAGGGCAGGGTATGATGAGTGATCTGATGTGTGAATCCTGTCGCTGTTTTAACCCTTTGTTGGAATATGAAGGCCAAACAGCAGAGCAATAACAGGCAATTAGGCGATTTTCCGAGTTGAATTACTCACAGATAGGCATCACAGCTTGATGACGTCATGCTTGCTAGTTTGGGGCAGGTCTACTGAATGCCCTGATATGTGGACCATTTTTGTATCTTAAACTATTCTGAAGTTATGAAGACTAGAAATGACCTATCGTTTTGCCCGCAAATTGCAGTCTCCGGGTTAAATATCACCCATGTGAAAGAGTAATTGCACCCCTAAACCTAATAACTGGCTGTGAACCCTTTTGGTAGTAACAATTGCAATCAAACACTTGCGATACATTGCAACGAGTCTTTTACATCACTGTGGAGGAATTTTGGCCCACTCTTTTTTGGAGAATTGTTTTAATTTGGCTACATTGGAGGGGTTTGACAGGATCACTGTCCTGCTGCATAACCCTACTGCACTACTGAGCTTAATGTTACAAACTGATGGACGGACATTCTCCTTTAGGATTTTCTGATAGAGAGCAGAATTCCATAGTTCCATCAATAATGACAAATTGTCGAGGTCAAGCAGCCCCAGACCATCACACTACCACCACCGTGTTTGACTGTTGGTGTGATGATCTTATGGTGGAATGTGGTGTCAGTTTTATACCAGATGTAACAGGACCCATGTCTTCCACCATTGACTCATCAGTCCTCTTGGGGGTCATCTAGAAGTTTTTTGGCAAATGTAAGATGAGCTTTTGTGTTCTTTCTCGTCAGCCGTTGTTTGCACCTTCCAACTCTCCCATGGATGCCACTTTTGCTCAGTGTCTTTCTTATTGTGAAATCATGTAAAATTACCTTAACTGAGGCTAGTGTGGCCTGCAGTTCTTTAGATGTTGGTCTGGGTTCTATTGTGGCCTCCTGGATAAGTCATCATTGTGCTCTTGGTGAAATTTTGGTAGGCCAGCCACTACTGGGAAGGCTCACCACTGCTCAATTTTTCTCCATGTGTGGATATTGGCTCTCACTGTGGCTCTCAGTCCCAGAGCCTTAGCAATGACTTTGTAACCCTTTCCAAATTGATAGATTTCAATGACTTTGTTTGGCATCTATTTTTGAATGTCTTTACAATTTGGCATCCTTAGCTTCTTCTTTTTGAGATGTTCTAGCCTGCTTCACATTGCCAGACAGGTACTATTTAACTGATGTTTAGATTCAACAGGTCTGGCAGTAATCATGTCTGGGTGTGGCTAGTGAAATTGAACCCAATGGTCAAATGAATGTGGTTGTCTGGTTGATTTAGTGGATAAGGGGGCCATAACTTTTTCACATAGAGCTAGGTAGTGCTTAACAGCATTTTTTCTTCAAAAAATCATAATTTAGAAACAGCATTTTACCACAATCCAGTACCAAAAATTCAGTTGTCCTAAAACAAGTAATGCAAAGACAATTTTTGAAATAGTACATGTATGCTCATTCCAAATATGATGCCTGCAATATGTTCAAAAAAGTTGAGACAGGAGTATTTTTACCACTGTTTAACGTTACCTGTTCTTTTACCAGCACTTATAAGTTCATTTGAGGACACAAAATCATCCGGGTTTGGAGCAGAATTTTGTACCCTTCTTTATTTGTAGAAGTCTTCAGCTGTGCAACTATGTAAGAACCACACATTTTCAATAGGCGAGAGGCAGGCCAGTCTTGCACCACACTGTCTACACAGCCATGCTGTTGTAACACATGCAGAATGTTTTTTGGTTTAAGCATGAAGGTCCCTGAAAAAGACAGCATCTAGAAGGCAGCATGTATGTTCATTCTCTTGAATGTTTACTGAACTGACAAAAGTACAAAGAAAATATGTTTTCCAATGTTTTTCATTGACCAACTATTATATTGAGTAAATATAAACACAATTTTAATATGATACCTCCAACACACACAAAAAGTAGCAACAGGGCCATGTTTATCATTGTGTTACATCACCTTTACTTTAATTGCAATTTTTATCACATCAAATAACACATCTCTGGCACAAAGCATTTCTCCCAAAAAGTTGAAAACAGGATGTGAGACACTGCTTGTTTTATTTTTTACAATAAGCTATTGTTACGACCCGGTCTATTTGTCTTTCTCTGCATGTGTAGTCCTATGTACTTCCTGCTGCTTTTGTCAGAAGTCACATCAAAAAATCCAAGGGAACCAGTTCCATTGGCAGCCAAACATGCCCACAACATAACACTGCCTCACCATGCATACAGATGAGATGGCATGTTTTGGATCATGAGCAGTTCCTTCTCTTCTCCACATTATACTCTTCCCATCTTTCTGGTACAAGATTATCATTGTCTCTTCTGTTCAATAGATGTTTTTTTAGACCCGTATGGACTGTTTTTTTTTTTTTTTTTTCTTTTTGGACTGTGACACAGAGACGGCTACCTTCCGGACAGAATTGTAAATCTGGCCAACTGTTGTGAAGAGAATGTACTTCAGTCGGGAAAGAATTCCTTTCATCCATGAAAGCTGATTCACTCTGCCCTACTTTCACTTTTACAGCATATAAACTGCTCACCACAGACATTCACATCATGATCACTTAGGTCTCTGGAAACAGCTAATACCACTGTCTACTAAGGTAAGAAAATTGTAGAGGACTGATGGAAAGGGAACTTACTGGATGGAGGAAAAGGACACAGGATAAAATTTACAAAAACCAAAAAAGCAAAATCTTTTGAACAAAAGGAACAGAAGCTTTCAGGCTTTTTTGGCTGCTTAAAGATAAGCTCCAAACTGCAGTGCCTGAATATAAAGTAGGTCTATTTAAAAAAATAATCATATTACTATTTTAATTCCCTGCGGGATTTAACAGTTTCTTTTGATGCGACTTGAAAATCTAAAATTATACTTCATAAAATTGTCTTTACTCTTTCCTCATTAACTGGACATTTTCCCATGTACAATCCCAAACCTGAGCTAACATCAAGTAGTCAGTTGGAACTGGGATGATCTTAGTGTTTTGAGATTGTATTTGTCTTTGAATTGCTTATTTTTAAATTGCTTATTCTTCTTCAAGTCCTTCTGTTGGAATTAAGATAAATAGGCAAACAGATTGCAGCCTTTTATTACATTGATCTTTAAACTGTATAGTAGTTTCCAAAAGTCTGAAATCACTTGTCTTGTTAATAATAATATCTTGATGATGTTTTATTTATTTTTAAAGACCCAACTCCAAAAAGTTGGGACAGTAGGTCAAATGTAAATAAAAACAGACAGGTATATATGCTAATTATAATTTTTTAAGTTCTAATAAAGTTGGAATGGGGCTTGTTTACCACTGAGTTACATCACCTTTCCTTTTAACAACATTCAGTTATTGTTTGGGAGCTGTGGGCACCGAATGTTGTAGTTGTGAAAGATTTTTTACTTGATATACTTTAGCTGCTCAAGAGTCTGGGTTTGAAAATTCTCTCAACATTTGGGATGAAAATGTTTCCTATTTAGACCAGGGAACACTTTTATATCATTTTTTGGATCAGTCTCAGCACTGCAGTGACACTGACGTGGTTGTGGTGTGTTTGTGTGTGTTGTGCTGGTCTGAGTGGATCAGACACAGCAGTGCTGCTGGAGTTTTTAAACACCTCAGTTTCACTGCTGGACTGAGAATAGTCCGCCAACCAAAAATATCCAGCCAACAGCGCCCTGTGGGCAGCGTCCTCTGACCACTGATGAAGGACTAGAGGATGACCAACACAAACTGTGCAGCAGCAGATGAGCTGTCGTCTCTGACTTTAGATCTACAAGGTGGACCAAAAAAGGTAGGCGTGTCTAATAGAGTGGACAGTGAGTGGACACAGCAGCACTCCAGCAGCACTGCTGTGTCTGATCCACTCGTACCAGCACAACACACACCAACACCACCACAACGTCGATGTCACTGCAGTGCTGAGAATGGCCCAGGACCAAATAATACCTGCTCCGTGGTGGTCCTGTGAGGGTCCTGATCATTGAAGAACTGTAACAAAAAAAAAATCTCTATTACTTACCTTTAAGACATTTTCAATACATTTATATGAAATATTCATTTACTTTATTGAGTGTAGTTACTCAATAAAATTACTAGTTAACTGTCAAATTACTAGTTAACTGTCACTACACTAACAGATTATGGCTTATAAATATCTTGACAAAACAGAGTGTTGATCAACAGTCCAATATCAGCTTTTAAACTGAAAACGAGGATGCCAACGATCCCTGCTCAGTCTAATCTCAAACAGAATGGACCCGTGTTTGCTTACATGTTGTTTCTATTTTACAGAGACAAAAATGGGAGGAAATTCATCAAAATCACCTCCTGTTACTCCTGCACCTTCACCAGGTAAGTCTCACCTATTCGTACAGTGTTCATACATCATTAGCCTCATTATGTATATTTATGCAAAACATGATTATTTAATTGTAATGAACCTCAAGTAGACCAATCACATTGTGCCACATTCTGTTTCATAGCACTAAGTCATGTATCATTGCACTAATATTGCATTAAGCCCTGTATCATAGAACTAATATCATAGCACTGAGCCCTGTATCATAGCACTAATATAGCACTAAGCGCTGCTTCATAGCACTAATATCATAGCACTAAACCCTGTATCACAGCATAATATCATAGCACTAAACTCAGTATCATAGCACTAATATAGCACTAAGCCCTGTATCATAGCACTAATATAGCACTAAATGCTATTTAATAGCACTAATATAACAGCACTAAGCCCTGTATCATAGCACTAATATCATAGCACTAAGCCCTGTATCGTAGCACTAATATCATAGCACTCAGTGCTGTTTCATAGCACTAATATAACAGCACTAAGCCCTGTATCATAGCACTAATATCGTATTCTACATAGCTGATATGATTGTCTTTGGTTAGAAAAAAAGATTGCTTTAAGAATTTATGATGCACGTGTTTCTAACTTATAATTTCATTTTTTCTGCTAACACTGTTGAATTTCATTCATTACTCAGAACTAAAATGTCCTTGGAGGTCAGTAAATTGGAGGTAAGAACATGTATGCCTACTAGATGAAATAACGTCTGTACAACGTTTAGTACATTTATTAAAAAACACTCACTGACCACTTTGCACTTACGTGTCCAGAAACAGCCAATGTACTGCCATGCACAATTTGTGTTAGTCATTTTCTAGCCCTTCAGTAATAGTTTTCTGACCACAGAGCCACTCTTGGGTGGTGGACCACACTGAACAGCAGTGACGTGTAAAATCCTCAGCAACACCTTTATGCTTGATAGTCATACCTGCTTCAGCAATGTATTTTTTGTGCATATGTTGAAATATTGAATAAAAAATTCATGGGAATAAAAAATTCATGGGAAAAATACAGTGAAGCTTGTACACTTACTTGAATCATTCAAATATGAATAGAATAAGGTCATGTTTCTACTGATATTTTTCAGATTTTATCCGAACATAGTTACAAACCATGATGGAAGGCAGCAGGTAGCAGTGGACTAATAAAAAAATTCAGACTAATAAAGAATTTCGAACACGCCTTTATCTTCTAAAAGAAAAAATTACATAACATAACAGCAATATTAAACAGTAAACATACTGACATACTATGTCGGCAGCGTCTTAATTTGTTTGGCAGTGTGTTCAGTCTTTGCACTCATGTGATTTTTCATAAAATTAAAGAAAACAGCTATGAGAAGCTCCACTATATTAAGGATTTCTCTGTAAACTCACTCCATATTTCTCAGAAGAGTTTTTTTTTTTAATGTAGCGAGAAGTTAAATTGCAGAGGTAAAATTTCCCCACTGTGGGAGTAAAAAAGACTCACTTAATCTAAGCTTATGTATTTAAATTTAAATATGTTTACTCGCTTTCCTTTGTGTGTGTCTTTCTGACGCTAATCCTCTGTCTGTCTCAGTACTAAACAGGAGATATTGAAACACTTGAACGTTTTAAAGCCAAGTGTGGAGCCCCTTAGGATACTGCTGTATGGACCAGCTGGGGCAGGGAAGTCATGCTTCATAAACTCTGTTCAGAGGGCCCTCTTAGGCTGTAATGCCAGTAGTTCTCTGGAAAGCTCAGCAGGAGCCGGAGAAAGCTCCACTCTTTCAGTAAGTAAATAGTTTTCAGAGCTTCACCTGTTTTGCAAGTTTTACAAATTCCATACTCGTAAAATTCTTTCACCAACAGATCTAACAAAGATGATCCACTAATTTTGAAAGTTCAAATTAATTATAATAATTTTTCATCAGGTATGCACTCATTGTTTTTGTCTATTAGGACATGTAATCCCACTTAATCAGTTTCAGACATATGGGGCAGATTTAATAAATGAGACTATTAGACATACTAATGATTTAAGCAGTGTTACAGATGGATTACAGAACAACAGCCTGTGTAATTACACAAGTGTAATAATTCAGTTTTGCCTCATGTAATTAATATATTCTTTTTGATACACTACAGATCAGAAGTCTTTTTTTACATATTATATTTCTGTTTTACATAATTACTGTGGAATAACTGTGTTGTAACAAGGTAACCTAATTACATCACATTAATTACCATTCTATAATTACCACTCTGTAATTGCATTGTACCTATATAACAACAGAAGTTGATACACATGTGTAATTACATAAGGTGTACTTCTTTAATCCATCAGTAACAGTGACTAAATCATTAGTAATTACATTGTTGTTGCATATGTTGTTCACATGTAACTACACAGTTATTAGAGACAATTAATATCAAGTGGGACCAAACCTTTCTATAGTGTAGTGTTAAAGCTTTTAAATAAGTGGACAGTTTCTGTGTAGTTATTATGTAGGTACTGTGTAATAAATGAGTGGTAATATAGACATTGCATTTGGGGAAATGCAACTGACATTAATAATTTAGTTATATTTTAAGATAAGGGGATGTCTGCTGTTCTGTCACATTACAGAATGGTTTAAAGCTGAAACTGGTTACAGTGTCTCAGCACTAGCGACATACATGCTAGCTAAATATTAGGAAAGCTGGCAGATACAGTGTAAGTAATGTCTTAATGTACATTATTAGATACTTTCTTTTACTACCTGAAAATAAAAAACTTCTAAAAAAATGCCGTTCTAGTCTTGTGTACCCTTGTGTAATTACATGAGAGAGAATAGGCTGTTACAACTATTAAGATACACTTGTGTAATAACATAAGGCAAAACTAAAGTTGATACACATGTAATTACATAAGGTATACTTCTGCAAATCATTAGTAGTTATATTGTTGTTGCATATGTTGTTCACATGTAACTACACAGTTATTAGAGACACTTAATATAAAGTGGGACCAAATTTTCTATACCAGCCACTTAATATATTCACCCATACTGACTCACATGCTTTTTGTCTGAAAGTCTGTGTCCACCAGATAGGACAAAAACCTTCTTTGGTCCAAAGTTATACCATTACTTCAGGCCTATTAGGTCAAAATAATCACTTTTTTCTCAAACTTTGAAAATAATAGAATAATGACCAACTTGAAAGAATTAATACTTGCAGAGAAAGTACATAATTACATGAATAAGATATTATTTCATCAGAAATTTGAGGATATTAAGTAATTGTTTTTCTGCTTTTCTATTTTGAAAGAATGGCTGGTGGAGTCAGCTGAATTGAGCTCTGTACAGAGTGCATTTGGAGACCATGTGATAGTGTAAAATCTCTATTTAATTGCTATCTTTAGTGCTGTTTGGGAATCATATGATTGATTTTTTTTTTTTTTCCACAATTTGCTCCCCAATTCAGACTTGTCCAAATATACCCGCTAGTTAGGACTCCCCCAATCACATGATATCACCAGCACTAGGAGACCTGTGAAGCATCTTATCGAACTGCCACTAAAACAATGTCACTGGACAGCTGAACATGCTTGGAGGAGGACACTAACCTCCAGTTTACAGACTCCAGTGCTGACGAGCATGGTGCTAAGTGATGGGGGGAGACGGAGGGGCATCCTATCCACCCAGAGAGCAAGGCCAGTTGTGCTCTTTTGGACTCCTGGCCACAGATCACTCCCGCAACCATCTAAGCCTTGAATTTGATCCTTGGTGATGCTACAGCCCACCAAGGATCAAACTCATGGCTTAGATGGTTGCACCAGTTGGGAGCCTGGGAATCATATGATTTTCAGCATGACCTCTAGGGCTGCATGTAATGCATCAAAGAATAGTTGGGACATTTCTTCCATATGCACATATAAACCACAGCGCACATGAGTCACAGTGCACAAGAATAACAAAGTAAAGAGTAGCTTTATTTAAGCACAGCCAATCGTTCTGAAGAGTTCACTATTTAGGCAAAGTCTGCTTTTGGTAGCATTGTAAAATTAACCCAGAGTTTTAAAAAAAAGCAGTTAACATTAACATTGTTTTGGAAAAGTATTTTGTTTGGGTTTTTTAGCCTTCATCAAATTATGAACAATGTGGCATGTTCAGCATTAAAACATCTTGTTTTTTCCATCAAAAATAAATACATTTGGAAAAACTCTACTTTCTGTCAGAGTACAAACAATAGCAGCCAAGTTGGCACCAAAAAAAAAAGTTTTTTTCTAAGGTGTTAAACAGCACACAGTAAGTATTTACCACCAGTCTTAAATGGAAGTAGGTGCTTCATTGTAATAATCTCCTCACTTCACACTGCCACTATGTTTGAATACAGTATGTTTGAATCTGTTTCTAGATCAAATCGTACAAGCTGAAGAAGCGTGGAGGTGGACATTATCCTTTTGTTTTCAGTGACATCATCGTGCTTGACCCGAGCAAAGGAGGGATACACACTGAAGACATCATCAAAGTTTTAGAGGGACGTATTTTAGAAGGCTACAAAGTAAGTCCACACTCTTGCCCAGTGAAGTATTACTGATCTCAAATGACAACAAACTGAGGAGGTGACGTTTTGCTGGTTTTACTGACCTTAAGCAGGTATTGCTCTATGGCAAAGTGGGATACAGTGAGCGGTTTTTCAAGACAGGAAGTATCATATCCAATGTGGTTAAACATGAGTTTACTGTGAGTTGTGACCATGATCACTCACAGTCATATTGTGCATATTCTGGCTTACTGAATTACAAAAAAGCCTGAAATGGCAAATCACAATTTGCCAAACTTTGGGCATGAACGTTTGTTTGCTTAATTGGTGGATAATTTTTTTTACCAGTTTGAATAAAGTTCAAAATGTTGGTGCAAAAACAGTCCATACACCTGTCCTTGCCTGACAGTGAGATTATTAAGGGAGGAGCTTACAAATCACTGCTGTTGGAAGAAAATCTTGCATCTCCATTTTTGTCATTTTTCAGATTTTGACACAGTTTGAAAATGGCTATTACTCTTTACATCATATTTAAATTTCATGATGAATGGATCAAAAGAAATGACCCAAAATGACTTCGAAAAAATTCTGGTTCCATTGACTTACATCAAAAGTAAAGTATGTTTTTTCCTTCTCCTGTAAAGTTACCATTTTGGGGATACAAAGTTTTCTTCTGACAACAGCGAAATGTTCACCAATAACAGTGTTACAAGCATTGTGCAAATGGTAAAATACATTTAAAAGATATTTACTTATGAATATGTGAGACCAAAACTAAAGTGGAACTTATTCATTCTTAATAATCAATAACTAACTGTTATAAACCCCTTAGATGGCCAGGGCCTTCTGGCAGGCCCAAAGTTTTATTACACACTTAAGAATTACTTACTTATTACTTAATACTTAACCCCTTATCTAGCCATGTTTTATTACACACTTCTATAACAGCTGAAAAAGAACTACCTCTGTTTAAAAGATCTTTATTAATGCATTTGCTAGACCATAACCAAAGTAGAACTTACTTATTTGTTGTTTACAATGTCATTTTCTTGTTTACAAATAACTTTTCCATGTTATACACTGTTAAAGATGGACATTAGCGCCCAGACTTTCAGCAAAATACAATAAATACAAAATATTCTGTTATTGTAAATTGTATTTTAATTTTCTGTAAAATTACACTGTCCCAGTGTATGCAATTCATGAAATATGATTGTTTACTACCACATTTGGTCACTTTGAATTCCGATAATTATTACCTGTTCATATTCCTTGATTAATATATCACTTAAGACTATTTTAATTATGGTTCTGAAAACTACAGTTAATTAATATTTAATTCATTAAAGCAAAATCTTCATTTTGTCAAAGAAAAAACATAAATGTGATGTAGATAGTCTTCACAAAACCTGGAAAAAGCTGCTATATTGTGGACATTCTGGCAGTGCAATGTATATGAGCAGTCAGTGCCGGCTATGACAGCAAAGGTGTTGATCTGTACCAAACTGATAAATTATCAGTGGGTCCCCATTATGGATTATAGTCAGCACTGCATCAACTTACACATCACAGGCACTATAAGAATCCAAATCGTTAAAATCAAATAATTATTTGGTCTAAATCTGTCCCTTCACCTGAGTAAGTACCATATACTATACCGATAAGAGTCCTTGGGCAAGACTCCTAAAACTACCTTCGCCTACCTGTGTAAAATGATCAAGCTGTAAGTTGTTCTTGATAAGTGCATCTGCCAAATTCCATGAATGTAAAAAAAAAAATGTAAATGATCACAGAAGTAATTAATAGCTCTGTATCTGTGTTAGTTGGGGTTAATCAGTGTTAGCTTGATGTTAGCTTATGTGAGCCCAGCTAACACTGCAGCATTATTGGCATTCATAATCGAGCTAAAACACAAGTGCTCTAGACATAAAAATATAGATCACCAAAGTCAATCATCAGTCACTGACAATTATCAGTAATAAATAACTCTCAACACATTCTTAACTGTCAGCCTGAGACAGACTGAGGAGAGTACATTTTGATAGTGTTTATTCTCACAATATGGGGATGCTGCCAAGTGTGACATCAATTGAATACAATCTATTATATTCTAAAAGAACATAAGGTCCATTTCCTGAGCCATTCTGTCTTTTATCAACTTGTGTTGCTCATGTATACTTTTGTATGTCTTCATAAATATTTTAAAAAATGTAATACATGACTATTCATTTATTTTTCAATCTGGAAATAAGTACCAAAATACCAAACACAAAAAAATCTGGAAATGTTTGTTTTTCTGTTCTAGTTTGATGCCGCATCACCTATAACTGAGGATGATCCAAAGTACAATCACTGCCCAAATCTATGTGATAAAGTCCACTGTCTGGTATACGTTCTTCCTTCTGATAGTACGGCTCCCAATGTGATTGAAAAAATAAGGAAAATTCAAGAGAAAGCTTCTAAAAGTAAGTTGGATATTTAGTATCTTTGATCCTTGAGGTTGATGTAAGATTTATATGTGAAATTGAAAGGCCAATTATTTATTTTTGTGTGAAAATTTGAGATTTTAAGACTGAGAATGATCTTTAACTCATTGTAAAGCATACTTTAATCTGTTGTTGAATTCTTTACATTTATACTACTTGTCTTTACAGGCATACCAAAAGTCATTGTGTTGACAAAAGTGGATAAAGTATCTGAGATGGTCAACCGAGACTTGAGAAAAGTTTACCACAGCAAGAAGATCGAAGAGAAGGTAACCTATGTGCACTGATAGGAATAAAGGTACAGTGCAGGTACATTTTTCATTCATCAAGGTACAAACGTTGTAAATGTTCCCTCAAAGGTACAACAGTGGTTGTAAGAAGTACATATTTGTACCGTTTCATAACCTAATGTTTGAAAATAAAATAAAAAGGCTGGAGACGAGAAGGGGGCGTGTGGAGTCAGTACAACTTATCAGTACAAAATATAATTTCAATTGCATTACGATGCAATTATGTTATATATCCATTTCCAACATTACACACATGGGGCAGATTTACTAAAAGAGGCGCTAAATACCAATTGTTGGCCAACACTTTGTGTTGATGGGGGTTGAATTTAGAAGATCATCTACTAAGACCTTCCATGCAAATGGACACAGCCACAGTCTGGTAGTTACCATTTGAGCAGTGCGATATATTTGGCTCGCATTTTGGGTGAAAACCACTTTTTCATCCTGTAGGAGAAAGTAGTTTTTAATCATTCTCTGAATCTGCTTCAAACTGAAACTCTTATATTGTTGGCATAATACCCCAGACTTTTGAGACAATAAGCACAAACAATGACAGCCTTGTTAGCAAAAAAAATTAGACAAGCTTTTTTACAGGCGTTACACAGCACATGTTCAGTATTTACTATCAGCCTTGCGAAAAAAGACTTGTGGCAGCGTCTTCTGGATTTTTTTTCAAAATCAAATGCATATTTGAAAAACTGTGAAAACTGTCACAATTTAAATTGTGTATTTACAATTGCATTTCCCATGTGAGCGTGCATTATTTAAGACATAATTTAAATTCAAACTTAAGACGTATTTGCATTTGGATTCCTGTGTGTAACGGCTGGAAAAAGTTAAAACGGTGCTTTTGACATTTCTTTTACATTATCTTAAATGGTCTGACTCTGACATATTAAAAACAGAATAAAAACACTATTTACAATTGCATATCCTCACTGTTGCGTTTCAGCTCTGCCAAAATAAACCTGTATAAATCTGTTTTTTTTATGATCATTTTACGAACATTTTTACAATCAGCGAGCACTCCTGTCAATCAAATAGTACAGGTGGGGAATGTCAAGAGGGACTTTTAGCAGTACTGGTACAAGGCTAGATGCTTGTTTAGAATACAAAGGTAGTGATAGCAACCATTGCTAGTGACATTTTAACACTTGCCAACCAGGCCGAGGATGAATCTGTCAAAAATTCCTGCTATTTCATATGGCAGTAATTCTGGACCAGGTAGGACATCTTGTGGCTGTTCGAAGTACCAGTGGTAATGACGTTGTGACTGATTTTGGGCAGAGGCTGGAGAACCTGGACAGCCAATGAAACATGAAATATTTCTTACTTTCTCTTATGTCCCTCCCCACCCAGAGTGTTGAATTGACAGGAGACCCTATTTGACTTGCAAACAGGATTTGTTTAATGGTCATTATTCCATTTTTAATATGTCACAGTCAGAGAGTTGCTTTTCCATATTAACATTTTCCAGCCATTATAAACAGAAATGCAGACAAATACACAGCTTACCCTTGAATTATGTGTTTTGATCTTATGACTACTATAGCATAGTATTTAAGCCCAGGCTTTAGAATAGGAAACTTGCGAAGTATTGCATCCGTTTCCATGATCTACTGAGCGTTTATTCCTGTATCTGATTATCGTGTATGACCTTTGCCTTTGTTCTTTGAGTTTGTCTTTTTGCCCAGCCCTTCGGATTGTTAGCCTGTTTTGGGATTTTGAACTTAGACCCTCTGCTTGTGTTTTTGACCACGTTTTGGCCTTCTCCTGTTTGGACTGTTTGCCTGGTGTAATGTTTATTGTTTTGTTTCTCATCTGCTTTCTGGAATTGACCCCTGCCTGTTTTTTCACCACGAACTTGAACTGCAATTCTACTAGTAAAGCCTCCTTTCTATTTTATATCTGCAAGCGTCTGATTCTGTTTGACACGTCACAGACTCACATGGAAAATGCAATTGTAAATCTATCATTTAATTAGCCTTTTCAAATTTGCATTTGATTTTGAAAAATTGTTTCCATTCATGCCATCAGAGTGAGAGACCAAGGCGTTCTCACTGATCTACCTCCCTGTTGCACAGAAAGGCTGGGGAGGAGAGGAAGATGACTCACATGTTTACTTTATTTGTTCAGGTAGAGGACTGCAGTGATAAACTGACCATCTTGTCGGACAACATCCACCCTGTGAAGAACTATCATGCAGAGGTCAATGAAGATGCCAATGTTGATGTTCTCATCCTCATGGCACTGAGGAATATTGTTAAATTAGCCAACAACTACGCAAAATGAATCGAGTGGCAATTCACACATAGAGTAAAGGGGAATTCCACTCATTTTTCAAAATGTCTGCATTACTTTAACATTTATTACTTTATTTTCATTTTGCCGTTATCTTTATGACTAAAAAACTATCCTATATATGTGGTGTTATATATTATATGACAAAATTAACCACACAAAAATGTGAAATTACATAATCATGTTGTAGCCGTGCAGCGCTACCTGTGTTAGCAACCCGGAAGTAGGTGCTTTGCTGCTGTGACATAACGCTAATTTGTCCTATTGGTCTTTACACTATGCTGTCCACCGATGTCTGCAAATGACGCTGTATGATTCTAATATCTCTGTGGATTTGCTTGATAATTCATTCATTTGATCTGAGTGGTTCATCTGGGCTGCAGCATTCACTGCTTTGTTTAGAAAGATGTCAGTATGAGCAGAGCTGCATCCTAGCTGTGTGCAAGGGGTGAAATAAATCTGCCTGATAAATGTATTTTTATCCACATTTGGCACATATTAATTCATTATCTGATGTTGTAAAATAAATACCCATTGCAAAAAACTACAACCATGTTGCCTACACGTATTAGCTGCTAGCTAACAGCATTAGTCAGAGCTCCTGTGAAGACTGTCTGTGGTCGTTATCATAAACAAGCTTTTATGTAACAGTGATGTAATCTAGGCAGCTAGTTTGTAAAACATTGATTAGTTAACGTTTGTCTGATTGTGTATTATATAACATGTATAATGTTATTTGTTCATTTGTTATTTACTTGTTTCCTGTTACTGGTTCATGTGATTTATATAGTGTTTGCTTTTAAATGATTCTGAATGTATTTACATGTGAACTCTGTAGGATAGTTTACAATAGCAGGCACAAACACTGTTAACTAATGATAAAGGATTAGTAATAAAACATTATTCCTGTCAATTACTTTAATAGTATCTTGTTAATAGCCTAACTGGGGTTTATTTATTTATAATACTCATAATAATACTTCACATAACGTATAGGTAGTCTCACAAGGCCAGGTGTGATCTTGTACCGGGAATGTCTGGCGACAACAATGAGAATTTTTGGGCTAAATATGGATGGGAACGTAGACTTATGGTAGGAACAAACTGAGGTCTGAACAGACAAGAGGATTTCTGGGGCAAGTTTTCGAGGTGGTGTATCCTTATTAGAGACATTTTCGCCACAATCCAGCACCATCATTTTAATAAGTTGAAAACAAGTAATAAAACCTCAGTCCCAAAAAGTTGAGAACGTGTGAAATACCAGTAAAAAAGAAATAAGTGATTAGTATATTCTTTCAGGCCTATTTTACTTATTTTTGAAAACAATATGAAATACATTTTACGTTTTACCTAAAGAACTTCACTGTTTTATTTGAGCTAGGTACTAAAATGGTCATTTACTGGCCCAAATCAAAGAAACAATTGGTCACTTAAAAAGTCATGTACAGTGCCATGAAAAAGTATGTGCCTCCCTCCTGATCTGTAATTTTGTTATTTTTTCATTGTTAACTGTTTCATACACTGTAAAAAATTTAGCTTGCACAAAAAAAAAAAAAAAAATTTACAGAATTTCCCCGAATTTTTTCTTGTTCACTTCATTTTTTTTTATCAACACTAAAATAAATATTTAGTTGAGCTAAGATGAGAATATTTGTTGTACAAAGAAATACGACTATTCTTGAGCAAAGCTCTTTGAGTTGTACTGACTTTTATTTTTTTGTTTTACAAACAAAGGAAATGTAGTTTATGTAACTGTTACATTCTCGCTCACTAAACAAAGCTTTATGAAGTTGAGTTGACTAAAAATATTCTTTGGAAATCAGCACTAAGGTATATTAAGTTTTGTCATTAAACTTAAAGAACACAGTTGGTGTTCAGCTCTACAGTAAAACCATGAATGTGTAAAGAAATAGGAGAAGTAGTACAACACAGGTGAACACAGCTGAGCAATCAATAACCTGCCACAGTTCTAAGAAAAGAATGTCATACATTAAGCCATTATGTCCTGTATCATGTCCTCTAAATTTAACAGTTCTTAAAGCTTCACCAGTATGTGGACATGAACTGGTTACACCAAAAAGCATTTTGAAGCAATTGCTTTCATTGTGAATACAACTTATACAGAACTTTCATTCAGACAAAATGAGTGAAATAACAATTACATCAGTAAAGAAACAGTTACAAAGGTGTCTGCCAAAAAATTACACACTAAATTGGTGTTGGTGTTGTACTTGATTATATGTACACATTCACAGGCCACTTAATTGTACTATGCTCATTTCCCATTTAATCAGGTCCATTTAATGTATAAGTGCACTTTGTAGTTCTGCAATTGCAGATTGTAGTTGATCTGTTTCTCTGCATAATTTATTAAACTTTTCACCTCATTTGTCAATGATCAGAACCCCCACCTGGACCACCACTGATAAGGTATTATTATCATTTTGTTCTTAGTACTGCAGTAACACTGGCATAGTAGTATGTGTGGTATTGGTACTACTGTATCAGATACAGCAATGCTTTAAACACCTCAGTGTCACTGTTGGAGTGAGGAATACCTTAAAATGGCCAGTGAATGTATACGTATGTGTGGGAAAGAGAGATAACAAGAGAATAGACATCTGATGCCCACCCTACTGTGCTACACATACTCGTCCTTTAACAGATGTGGAGGTCTCTGGTCAATTTTTTTGTCACTTGCAGCTTGTGAGGGTGGATTCTTCATGGCTGTATCTAAAATGAAGAAAAAGTAAGTAAAATTGCTAATAAACACTCACCAGACAAAACACAAGGATGAGAAAAATTCTGGACAGTATGAAAAATAAACATACAAATCAACATCAAGAAAAAGAAAAGACGTACAATAGAATACAAGAAGGAGCAGGTAATTGTGAATAACAATGTACTATGTTTTTCACAACATCACACAATCTTGAAAGCTCTTGTTTTCATGCAACAGTTTTAAAAAATAAAGAAAAAATCAAGGCATGTGAGCCGTAGTTCTAAATACATCTTAAAATTTATACCGTTGGCAATATTTTGAGCTAAAAAATGTAGTAAAACATATAAATAAATCTGTACTAATAATACAAAGAGCAATACTACAAACAATGCTGTAAGTAAAAGCACATGGGACAAGCTCTAAGTCCTGATCAGTTGAGAACCAGAAGGATGGCTGTAGGAAGAGAGAACATTGGTAAAGGTTTAAAATGTTAACTTCAACAACTGAATCAGATGCAGGCATATTTGTTTTGACTAACTAAACTTGTACAAGCATTCAGTCCTAGGTTATGTCCCAACAGCAACATTATTTATTTTGGGCGATTTTGAAAAAAAAACTAGCAACACGCTAGAGAAAGAAATGTAAATAAAGCTGCTTCCATACCTGAGAAATGCTGGTGGTAGATGTAGGAGATGTGGAGGTCATTACAAGAAGAGTACCAATTTTGCCGGTCTAACTTAGGCTGCTAATGTTAACTAAACTAGCACAAACACGTTAGTTAGCTAGCTAGCTAACAATGCTAACAAGTGTACACACCAGTTTATTAGACATGGAATATAAATTCAACACCGTTCCAAATTCATTAAAAAATTTCTCTCGTATTATTTTGTGAGAGCACTCATCTAGAAGAGGTGACTCACTAGGCTAGCTAAGTTAGCTACCACAGCAGATAACTGACTGTTAGCAAATGATGCTCATGTTGGTTTTAACATATGAAAAGTTCAACATTAACAAACTGTAGTATTATGTGTGAGTAAATGTCTGACTAAAAAACTGTTGGTACGTCAAATAAATATCAAATATAATAAAATAAACAGAATGTAGAATGACCATTTTGCAGACTTAAATAAGAACTAATTTGCATAATTTAAAAAAATCTATTAAATCTATTAAAACAATAGAAAATAAAACATCTTTTAAGAAACAACATAAATAATGTAAAGTTAAACAGGGACTTCTGTAACTTTTAAGAGTATAAAATATTTTACATTGAACTCGTTCAGACACTTAAACCGTCACTTTACAACATACGCTAAATAGGGAACAGGGAGACATGTAAGATTTAGCCAAATCTCAAATGCCATTTAAGGTGGAATTGTCAGTTTCTTTTCTTATGAGGTGAAAGTCAGGTGAAAGATTTTTCTAAGTATCTTACAAAACAGGGTAAAAAATGAAGTTACAGTTCAGTAAAACTCCCTTTAGCTGGTGTTGTGGAAGGTACAGGAGTTTATACTCTGAGTGTGAAAAACACATTCTAATCAGTAATAAAGTTTAAGATAAGAGAACCCAAGCCAACAACCTCTATTCACAACGGTGCTTAAACCAAACAAAATGTAGTTGTTACATATAAATATCAAAGCTTATTAGTTTGTTAGCTTTGATTTGTGTTTTTGGTGTATTGAGTGCTTTAATTTAGTTTAATTTTCCGTTCCACCTTAAGTAATGAAGAAGTTTTATTTGGACACCCTTAGGTAGAACTTGTGCTCTGTTTAAGGTGGAACGGAAAACTGAAATAAGCAGCTGCTGTATGCATTCATCACATCACATTACCTCTGTCTTTTTGCCGTTTTTCGTCCTCTTTATAATATTGTTTGGCGGCTGCTGGGTTGTAGTTAATCTTTGTGTTTAGTGTTAATCACATTCTGCATGCACGCACTCACTCGTGGCACCCCTCCCCCACAGACAGGTAAGTCTAACTGTAGAGCATGAAGGGGGTGGAGGGGGGGTGTTGTACAGGGGGGATGCCGCACAGTACACACATCACACAAAATATTTGGACTTATATTGTTGCAAGTTATGATGATGTGAGATTTTTGTAATATTTAGAAAATAGTAAAGAAAAAAAAAAAAACATCAGTTGGGTCGTCTGGGTTCCCCTATGGGACGGTGCCCTTAGCATTCGTCTGTAAGACATATGCATAGGGCTGGCTCTGGATGCTAGCATTGTGATGTGTGATGAGGGGAGATGGGGGCCCATCCTACCTTCCCAGAGATAGGCCAAATGTGCTCTCTCTCTTCAGCCATGGATGGCTGAAGCATCAACAGGGATTGAACCGGCAATCTCCTGATGATGGGGTCAATGCTCCATCAAAATAATTTTGCAGTAAATGTCTTCTCTTTTATCAGGTTTCTCAGAAGAATGAAACTGAAACAGAGCTTGAGAGGTGTACAATGGCAGTGTTTGTCATCAGGGAGAATGAGAATCCTCTCCAACCACCACATGAAATTGGGATTGTAATTGAAGGTGTAGAAGTCCTTAATGAGTTGCCGTCGCTCGCACATGCATGTGCCATGTTGTTTGGCCTCATCTATGCTGTAAACTTGAGCTATCCAGGTGAGCTCAAACACACTTTCGATGCACTGCAGAAAATATTCATGGAGATGGAACCAAAGAAAATGACACGCAAAGTGTGCAGTCTTAGTGCCAAGCTTTAAATCTTTGATATATCAAAGAAAGACATTTGGATACAGCATGTGTTTTGGTCTGTTGTATTGCATGTATTCAAATACCTTCCAGGAAACATGGAACGTGTCATTGTTAACAGAATTCTTTCTGTGGTAGAAATATTGTGGCACTGAAAATAACATTGAAAATGTGATTTTTTTTTTTTAATCTTATGATTTCACTTTGTGATGTGACATTCACACATTCTGTTCTGTTCACCAAAGGATAGCCAAATTTAATGGGTATGCACTATTTTTGCACTTCTTAATGGCAAGTCAAGAACAGTGCACATAGTGTCCTCCATAATTAGTGGCATCTACAGTCA